TATTTTCCAAAGACTGTTTTATTCTAGGACTGTGGAGTTAAGAAGATAAATGAAATAAAGCCCTATACCTCAAAGAGCTCTAGTTCAATTCAGTTCAGTTGCTCAGTCGTGTCTGACTCTTTGCGACCCCATGAACTGCAGCACGCCAGGACCCACTGTCCATCACCAACTCTCGGATTCCACCCAAACCCAAATAGCTTACTCTTTGGTAAAAGATTTAAAGTTTGTAAACAAACAACTATAAAAGAAATAAATAGCAAATGTCTAAAAGGTTCAGGAAGGAAGCCCTCCTAAATCAAAGAAGCTGAATAGAAGAATGACAGAATCCCCAAAATGGAACCAGACTCCTCATTTTTACTACATTATGGTGGTATACTGCATTATGGTATATATACTACTATATATATATATGTTTATGTGTGTGTATATATATATAATATCTATATTTTATCTTATATTTAAAAATTTAAACCAAAACTGAAAAACATTTACTGTTATTGTTATCTTATAATTCATTACTGCTCTGACTTGGAATCAGAAACCTGATGTCTTTTCTTCTGTACCAAAATGTCAGCTAGGTCTATTTACTGTAATGTATGGTAAGAAGTCTTAAGTATGTAAACTAGGGTTGGTAATTTTTTTCAGATTAATTTTGGAATAAAACTGCTCCTAAACATAAGCTTTTCCTAACATGGCTAGGTTCTTATAAGGAGGGTTATATCCTCCAAGATAGAAATACTATTCTATCTTTCAACGTTGCCATAGTATTCAATACCATTTTGTAGTACAGTTTGGTAACTTCATAGCCCTTCATTTGTACTATCAAAAATTAAGAAAGGTAAGCTGAATAAGCTGAAGAATTGATGCTTTTGAACTGTGGTCCTGGAGAAGACTCTTGAGAGTCCATTGGACTGCAGGGAGGTCAAATCAGTTGATTCTAAAGGAAATCAACCCTGAATTAGAAGGACTCATGCTAAAGCTGAAGCTCTAACACTTTGGCCACCTGATGCAAGGAGCCCACTCATTGGAAAAGACCCTGCTGCTGGGAAAGATAGAAGGCAAAAGGAGAAGGGGGTGACAGAGGATGAGGTGGTTGGATGGCATCGCCAACTCAATGCACATGAATCTGAGCTAACTCCAGGAGATAGTGAAGAACTGGGAAGCCTGACGTGCTGCAGTCCACGGGGTCACAAAGAGTTGGACACAACTTAGCGACTGAGCAAAAACAACAAGCTAAATGATGCTGGTTTGTTTTCTTAAAGTATGAAATCCAGCATTCAAAGGTCCCATTTTGGAAATTAAATTTCAGGTCACCATTTTCAAATCTGGGAGCTGACTGCAATGTGGAAAGAGTGAACCGAATTATTCTTTAACAAATGAATTTTCCAAACACCGTGTTGTCAGAACTGAGAAAAGCAAATGAGGTATTCGTGTAAATTATTCTGAATGTCCCAATAGAAAACTATTCACAAGGTGTTCAAGGAGTGTAATGAAGCTTGGAACTTTGAGCCAATCTTTGCTGCTAAATGGATATGGGACTTCCTTTGATGATATGAACAGAAAAAAAAAAAATGCTCTCCAAGATCACAGCACAAATAAGCCAGCAAATTCATTAAGCAAACACTGACCTGATTTTTCTCCAAGATATAGAAGAATAGCTGATTCATGATATTCATTACCAAATCCGTGGCTTGTTTCCTTTTAACTTTTTAGCCCAAAGCCATTCCTGATAAATGAAATTAATGGACTTATGCTTAGCACCCCTTCAAAATACTGCCACCTCAGATCTGTTGCTTGACGAGTCCAAGCTTAGCCCTACCCTTTGTGAGAAGCTGATCTGTAGTAACACAATTTGGAACAGTGCCTTCTATATCCAACGGTCTGAGACCTTTCTCATCACAAAGTAATTTTGATGTTTTGCCTTGCAGAGACTCCTTGTTCAAAAATTCTTTAACCCCTCCAAAATTCTCAAAGCATCACAAATAAATATAGCTAACAGTGTGCTATTATTTATATATATGAGCTCATTTGCTGCAATAGAAAATGCCACCAGTAATTTAACTTATCCTGAAAGTTCTCAGCCATATTTTCAACATGCTGAGCAGCAATGTTTCTGATTATAGGAACATTTGCAAATGCTTGTTATGCTCTGGACACGTAATTTCTGCTACATTCAAAAGAAACTCTTTTGTAAAAGTGTTGTCTGTAAAAAGGTTTAGTTGCCCAGGCAATTTTTTCACTTAATAGAGAACTGCACTTCACAGCAGATCTTTTATTTTATTCTCATTCAAAACAAACAGTGCCATTTCTTCAGTCCATCAAGTTTCCAAATGCCCATCTTTTCTGAATACCAGTCATGGCTTATTTTATTATGGTGCCTTAAGTTGCAATTTTTCTGTTGTAAACATTCTTTGTTTACAACAAAGAATTTTGTTGGAAATTCTTCACATCTACCAAAAAAGTGCACCCCTATTTTTTCTTGAAATACTGAACTCTGTTTTGTAGGAGATGCACAAGTCTCTTTTTCTCTAAATTCTACAATAAAAAAATAGCAGTAAACACGTGGGAGTAAATAACAACTGCCATTTGATCTCAGTGTTGAAAATATAAAGAAAAGTGTATGACCTTTGAATAAACAAGGAGGACATCGCTGCTCAGATTCAGGGCATGTCAGCTATGTGGGGACATTGATCCTCTGTCATTAAGAGAAGCTGGAAATCAGACATTTCAAAGAAAAATCTCCCAAGATTAAGCAGATTAATCTCCTAAATTATCAAAATGTTGGTTAACTTTTATTAAAATACCAAATGGGACAACATTGTTCTTGCCGGGCAAAACAAGTCTGCAAACTGAGTGCAATCTGTAAACCTCCCATTTACAACCTCTGGGGATGGAGAGAGTAACAGTAAGATAATATATATCCTCCCCTTGTTTAGTCCCTGAGAAGTAAGAAGAAAAAAGATATAGTTACATCAGCATGCCTCTATGAGGGTATGAATCCAAATACCATAATTAATTTTGGAAATTTACTGATGAGGTGGCAAAATGCAGTGAGAAAGATATCCTCCTTAAAGCCCAGCATGTGTGAGGAATCCTGAGTATATCACTTATTAGTTTGGTTGATGCTAGAGTAGTCGTCTGGAAATTGGGATAAGAAAATTACCTTGTAAGTTTGTTCACATTTGTAGTGATGAAAGTGTACATGTTTCTCAGCGTACTATTGGCATTTGGAAGATGTTCCATAAATGGTAGCTATCCTGTTATTACGAAGCATAAGTTTCCAACCACATTTCTTTGTTGCCCCCACAAATATGAGCTGTGCCCAGTCACCGCCTGTCACCCCTCCCTCTCCACATCATGCTTCCTCACCTGGCGCAGAAGCCCGGCCACAGTGCATCAGCCCCTCAAGTGGTCTACTCACTTGCCTCACCTGCACTCTTACCTGTACCTGGAAGGCCTGTCCCTCCCTTCTTCATTCAGCTACTCCCTTTGAGACTCAACCTCTGCTCAGAAGTCTTTCTTGAGGGCCACCTCCCTCCAGTCAGAGTGGAGCACTCCTTCTCCTCCTGCCTTGTCTTTGCCTTCCTCATATCATTTGTCGTCTAGTATTGTCAACTATGAGGGCTTCCCAGCTGACTCAGCGGTAAAGAATCCTGCCAATGCAGGAGATGTGAGTTTGATCCCCGAGTCAGGAAGATCCCCGGGAGAAGGAAAGGGCAACCCACTCCAGTATTCCTGCCTGGGAAATCCCATGGACAGAGGAGCCTAGTGGGCTGCAGGCCACAGGGTCGCAAAGAGTCAGACACAACTTAGTGACTAAACAGCAGCGGCTGTCAATTGTGAGCTCTTAGAACAGAGGAGCTAGGGCAATCACCTCACTATACTGAGCACGTGGGTGCAATGTCTTTGCCTGGCAGGTAATTAGAGCTCAAAAAAAAAAAAGGATCAAGGAGAGAATTATGGATGAGTGGGGTGATTATAGACTTGAGAGGCAATAGCCCACTCAGTGCCTGACTCTCTCTTGCTTTACAAATGCAGATCTTTGGCAATTGGTTATGCCTCTCCCGCTTGCTTTCCTGAACCTCACTCAGCAGCTACTGCCTCTATCCCACCCCAAAGCCAATGGCGATTTCCATTCTGTAAAGAGTCAGACACAACTTAGCGACTGAACAGCAGCAGCTGTCAATTGTGAGCTCTTGGAACAGAGGAGCTAGGGCAATCACCTCACTATACTGAGCACGTGGGTGCAATGTCTTTGCCTGGCAGGTAATTAGAGCTCAAAAAAAAAAAAAGGATCAAGGAGAGAATTATGAATGAGTGGGGTGATTATAGACTTGAGAGGCAATAGCCCACTCAGCGCCTGACTCTCTCTTGCTTTACAAATGCAGATCTTTGGCAACTGGTTATGCCTCTCCCGCTTGCTTTCCTGAACCTCACTCAGCAGCTACTGCCTCTATCCCACCCCAAAGCCAATGGCGATTTCCATTCTGGAGTGGCAGGTCATAAGAAAAGCTTAACTGTCACCCCTTGCAGCTTGGAAGTGGAGTCTGGAAGAACCTCTGAGAGGGAATAGAGAACATAAAGTAGAGTCCCTCACTTGAGGCAAAGGAAGGGAAAAGTTGACCAAAGGTCTTCCCTTCCCTTTCAGAAGTGCTAACTTCTTAGCCAAGTGGAATGAAAATGAGTGTGCAGTGGATGCAGGCTTGGGGCACTGCCTTCTTACACAGCAGCATATGTGGTCCTAAGTCAGAAGAAAAAGCTTATAGTAGACAGGGCCGTTACTAGCATATACTGGGCCTTTAAGTGAAGAAAAGACGAGCAAAGGGATGCAGATCCCTGCTGGGGAACTTAGCGATAGAAGGAGGATGGGCAGAACTTCCTGTCCAGGTACCTTCATGAGCAACCTACTGAAGTAGTCCTATGTAAGAAAAGTGTTTTCCTTAATGCCCAACATGAGAAAAATGATTATGAATAACATGCAAATATTTATTCTTTTCCAGGAACATGGGTGACATTTGGAGGTCAAATTTCAGATGAGGTGAGTTACTTTTGTCTTCCATTATGCTGATCATAGAAAATGCAGAGCAAACTGTATTTTACAATACAGTTTCTGAGATTCTGGTATTTTAAAAGGATAATATTTCAACCACCGGAAATGGCTAAGATTGACTTAGAGATTATTTTCCACTTTATCTTGCTTCCTGTATTCTTCACATTTAGACTATTAATAGCCCTTGAAGCTGTCTGTCTATTAAATGAGCAGGCTCAATAATTAGAGAATGATCAATTTTGGAATTAGTATTTAGTAACTTTATGAAAAGATTTTATTGCTGGCATGTGTATACATATGTGTTTTAGCTTCACCTAGACCAACTGGTCCGTTTGCATTGTTTCCATTTTAGTGTTTCTCAGTATTACGAAAACTGGGTCACCCAGACTTGGGCAGGTTAATTCAACCTCTGTTCTTCATTTTTTCATATGCAAAATGGGAAGCTCTGTTGAAAATATTAACCATGTTATGCATGTCTGACATGTATATAGCCCTCTGACTAGCAGGTCGCAGACACTAAATAAATGGGGCCTGTAACAATCGTATTTACTACAGAACTCCTTCACACCTTCGTTCACACATTCAGAATGGTGCTTATCAAAATTATAACTCTGACCATTGCCTTTAATGATTACTTTCAGGGCATAAGAGAGCTATGGAGGCGTTGAGTACCAACTACTTCCCTGAAGAAACCCCCTCAGGTCCCTCCAAGCCTTCCTTGGCTTCCTTGATAGCACTGAGGAGTCAGGGATAGTGTATCTAAGTGGATATACTCACTGGGCTTCAACTCCCTCTGCATTAACTAGATGTGTTAACATTTACTTTTACCAACAGTTGCCACATCAGTAAAATGCAGATGATGGCCCCTAAGATTAATCGAGGACTCAGCCTGGTGCCTGACACAAGACAAGCTCTTTTAAAGGTAGTTCTTACTGCCATTCCTAAGGAGACACTTAGGGAGATAAAGGGTCTTTTCCACAGCTCACAAGGTCACCCTGTTATTTAATAGATCCATAGGGAGGGGTCTTATCTTCTTATTTTTATCTGTCTGAATGCCTGTTCCCAGTATTGGGCACAGGTCATCACAAAGGGCTTGTTACAGTGGGGAGTACTTGGGAGGCAGACCTGAGGTGGAAATTAGCCTGCAGAACAGTTATTAGGAAGCTGGTCTGTGATGCAGTCTCAGCAGTGACCTCAGCTGACCCCATGGAGATCTCTGAAGCTCAGATGGCCCTGCAGAGTTGCCCCAAGTTGGGGCAAGAGGAGTATTTATATCCCTTGTATGACCAGTCACTGGACAGAGGCTGCCCCGGGAGGCAGGTGTGTGCCTGGGCTAGGTGACTCACGTTAGCCAAGGGCTTTCTGATGACAGCATTCCTAAGAGCTGGGGAAATAAGTCCTTGAGTTCTAAAGGACTAAAGGTGGTCATCACCAGGTCCACTCCAGGGCCATCTTGGGAAAGGAGAATTGAGGCACCAGAGAGGCAAGTGGACAGATATCAAAGCAATGGTTGCAGACTTCAATCAGATGCAAAATAAGTGACAAGGAAGGAGGGAGGTCTAAAGTTAATGATCCCCTGTATCTAGCATGTGCATAACCTCTTACTGGCTGGTAGGGTACTTGGAGCGGATAAAGACAAATACACCTTCCCTTTCAGAGCAGAGGAGTCAGCTGTAAGCCTATTATTCCCCTCTTCATCTTTGCTTGGCCCTTGACAGTGTCTGCTCTTTGCTGCAATGAGCCCAGCTTGCCCAGGTCAGAGTACGCTGGGCCAGCCTCTGAAACAAATCATTTTAAAATTATGATTCTAAAAACTACACAGTAAAGCTGTTGTGAATGACTGCAGAGACTTTCACCTCAATGCGGACCAGACAAATAGCCACTGTCCTTCTAGAGAGCAGCTGCGGCTCGTCCCCAGGGCCCAACAGAGAGATTGCCAGCAAGCAAGACAGGAGACACAGCCGGACCGCAGTCACACCCATGGCTGAGCTGGTCAAGTTAACCTACTTCCTTGTGGCAGTGGAGGCACAGAGCCGATGCTCACCACAACAGTCTGAGTGACATCATTATCCGTGCCGCCTTGGGAGGTGGTGATGTCCCCATTACTGTGGGAGTTCAGTCATTTACTGAATAGCCACTTGGCAGGAATGTTTTCAGGCTTCTTTCAATTGCAGGTAACAGTAAATCCAATTCAAACTGGCTGAACAAATAAGGGAAAAAACTATTTTTACTTTCACATTAGAAATGCAGAGTTAGAGCAAGCTTCCAGGTTGACTCAGTCAGAGCCTCCGTTGCATTTCCTAGTGATTCTCCTGACCCCGTGTTCCTGTGTATGTCAATTTCATCCATACCAAACAGTAAGATAGCGGCAGGCATTCTAGATCTCAGTTAGAAAAGTAACTCCAGGGAAAGTGTTGCAAAACACTGCAAGAAGAACAAGGAAAAATGTCCCCATCAGTCCTCAGTCAATCTCCTCTCACATTTTGTGGGTCCAAATGTGTCACATGACCTTCCCTGAACCACGTTAGGCCCCCCAGGCCCTCCTTGGAGGGAGGTAAGGTCAGCTCCGCCTGAGATCTGCAGGTTCCCCAGGCAGGCAGGACAGAAGCATCCCCATTTTGCAGATGATGAAACTGAAACTCAGAGAGGTCAAATGATTTGCCAACATGTGTTTATCTAAGAGGGGCTTCCCTGGTGGCTCCGTGATAAAGAATCCTCCTGCAATGCAGGAGATGAAGGAGATGCAGGTTTGATCCCTGGGTCGGGAAGATTCCCTGGAGGAGAGCATAGCAACCCACTCCAGTATTCCTGCCTGGGAAATCCCATGGACAGCCCGGCGGGCTACAGTCCTTGGGGTCACAAAGAGTTGGCCATGACTGAAGCTACTGAGCACGCATGCATTTATCTAGTAAGTGGTACGCTCAAGCTCAGACAGCGGTCCTCTGACTTAGTCCTGTGATTTCCTTTATTCCATGTTCAGATCTTCAGATCTCATGATTGGGAAATGTGTTATCATTTAGTTCAGTTCTCCATCCAGGATCCTACATCTTAAAATTTCTCCCTAGATGAGATTTATTATGCACATTTCCTAATAATAATCCATTAGTATGACACATGACATAACACAAGGATGATATACAACACAAGTGCAATAATCTCTAAAGTATAGGGCATGAGACTTCCCTGGCAGTCCAGTGGTTAAGACTCCATGCTTCAACTGCAGAGGCTCGGGTTTGATCCCTAGTTGGGGAACTAGCATCCTGCATCCTGTACTACCCAGCTGGAAAAAAATATATGTGTGTGTGTGTCTGTGTGTCTGTGTGTGTGTGTATATATATATATATACACACACATACATATATATATGTGTATATATATATGGCAATTATGGTATGTCTTAAATTTTAATTTATACTTAGGAGAAACATCATAATGGTGCCAAATTAGAAGCAGTAATAATAGGCTTCCCAAGTGGCTCAGTGGTAAAGAATCTGCCTGCCAGTGTAGGAGATGCAGGAGACACGGGTTCAATTCTGGGGCGGGTAGATCCCCTGGAGGAAGAAATGGCAACCCACACTGGTATTCTTGCCTGGGAAATTCCATGGACAGAGGAGCCTGGCGAGCTACAGCCCATGGGGTCACAAAGATTCAGACAAGACTGAGCACACACACAATAACATTTTAGCCGCTATTATTCTAAAGGATTTGCATTGTGCTAGCCTGACAATTTTCTTGGGATGTCACTTTAAAAAAAAAAAATAGGAAAAGAGATTATCTTGGAAATACTGATGAAGCAGCCTTAGCCCACAATGAAAAACATGATGTGAGAATCAATTTCAATTATTTGTGAGGTGTGTAATTTTTCAATTAACTAAGAAGTCGATCAACAAAATGAAAAAATGTCCTTTCTCCAGCATTGTTTATTGCTGTCCCCCCAGAACCATCCCTCAGGGTGTAGTTTCCAGCTGTTCCCAGGCTCTTTTGTCACACTCGCCCCTCGAGTTCAGCAGAACAAAGGAAGGAACGAGGGGCCTGGGGGTCTCAGCATGACCTGTGAGGAACTGGAGCGCTCAGCCTTTCCTCTCCACGCAGGGTCAGGGTGGCTGCTGGCCACTCTGTGACGGTGCCTGGGGCTGTGCTGATCTGACAGGAGTTTTCCAGCAGTCCCAGCTGTCTAACTTTTGCTTCCTCAGCATAGTCTGCCAAGCCTCCAGGGGGGGATAAAGGCACAAGCTTTTAGGTCAGGAGTCACCCAGCTGCCAGGACCTATTGGCCTGGGAAAAAGAGAAAGATGAGAAATGAAGTGACCAGGGGTCCAGACGACCGTCTTGGTCAGAGAGGTTCCAGAGCCCCAGAGAATGTTGTCAAGCCAGGTGTTCCAAGCAGAGTGAGAAACACAAGTCCCTCCGCCTCACTGGCTCCTGGTGGCTGGGTGTTCTCAGCGCTGAAGGAAATCTCTCAGTGCCCAGGACAGGTCTGAGGGAAGGGGTCATTTTACCATCTTCAGGCTGGTCGAATCTTCTTTTTATTCTTTCTTTCTTTAATACAACTGAGAAAAACAAGACTGGTCAGTGAGACTTCCATGTTCTGAAAGACCACTAGAGGACTCCAAGTTGCTTCCCAGGCTTGTAAAGCATCTGGCTTTTCCGACTGACCTTCACATCCTCTTGCAGGTTGCTGAGCGGCTGATGACGATCGCGTATGAGAGCGGAGTGAATCTCTTTGATACAGCCGAGGTCTATGCCGCTGGAAAGTAAGTCACTGCCTGTTGCGTCTCTCAACTCTCAGTTCTGGGCCCAAGAGACGCCCCCCAGACCCTTGCTGACACATTGGTGAGAAGGGCCTGTCCTTCCCACACATGCTGATGCCGTTGCTTTGCTTCCCTTCTTGACCTACCGCCACCAGAATCGGGGCGATTGACCATCTCTAGACCCCTCCGCCCACCCAGGCCTTCCCACCCCTGGTCCCTGTGTGAAGAAAGGACTGGAAGTGATCGCCACAATCTGTCAATACTTGAGGGGCAGAAGTGGTTGTGACCAGAGTGCTGACAGTGCAGACCATAAATATTAGCTGAATGTAATTAATAGAAGTGAGCAGATTCCAGTGTGGTTTTTCCAAAGCTAGTCTTTGATTTTATAACCACCCTGTGTAGTTCCTCAACCTTGAGGGGAACAGGCACATCCTCTCTGCACGAAAGCAGAGATTAAAGGAGGGATTCCCAAAGATGCCAAGACACCGAATATCTTTTATAAGAGGGCATTTCAGGCTTATGCTGAGGACAGACAGGGCTGCAAAGAGGCCTCACTTCTTTTTCTGGACAAGTCCCAACTGACTACAACCTTCTTCTGGACCCTAGAATGGGTCTGGAGCTCTAGGACAGGGCTCAGTGATAAGTCAAAGCACATGGGTACTATGTCTTCAGTATCCACAGCCTCTGGTCCCACACAATAAGCACATTCAACAGAAGTGGATGCCTTGGCCTCCTGTTATGAACATGGATGCAGAAAAGAAACTAAACATCTAGACTGCTGCTGGAGCAGCTTTGCAATTCCCTAACGGGGCTGAGGAACATAGTCACCTGCAGGCTTAATTCCTCCCCTTCTGGGTGAGAATAACAAACTGCTGAATCAAGTTCATCACTGCCTGATAAAAGTGTATTTTCCCAGTCTGGGTTTCCTCCTTTTCCGGGGCAGGGCTATGTTCAAGGACTATCAGGCAGGTTCAGAGCCCACATCCTTGATGTTTTCTGTTGTGTCCAAGGAGAGAATATACAACTGATGAGGATTTGTTTCTTTCCACATCCTACTTTAACTCAGTGTTTTCTTCTTTTGTTGAATCCTGCTTATTACCAAATGGGGCTAAAGCTGAAAAAGAGGGGGTGATTAACAAGTCTGTTAGGTTCTGTTTGTATTCCTGTTGTGAAGGATAACTGGTCCTGGTTAATTATTGATTGTTTGTCAGTTTGTAATGAGATAGGTTCCCGCTGTGAAATGCAAGGTTGCGAGAGAGACAGGGAGAAAGAACCCTGAGGGAACAGTCAGTGTGTTTCTCCTTGGTTCATGCTCACCAGCTAACCCACCTCAGGGTTTATTGCCAGGCTTTACAACAAAGACAGGACTTTTCAGCTAAGACAAATCACAATTAGAGATGACTTGCTCTATAGAATGCTAATGGACAATGCACTGATTACATTGATGTCTCCATTCACAAAGCCTCTGAGAGCCCACCTGCTTCTCACAGTGTTGGTCTGACTGGGAGGAACCTAGAAGAAAGTTTTAGTATCCATAAGGTTGGGTCCCAGCTGGGGAAGGTGGAGGGGGAGAGGATGGAGAGAGAGTCTTCAGTATAACTCTCCACGACCAGCGTCAGGGGCAGGAAGGACACTCCCCTATGACTTCGTATATCCTGCTCTTCTGACAACGCTTGTCACTGGAACCCAGGACATTCTCTCTGTAGGCCACTTCAGCCCTGGCTTTGGGAGGTCTAAAGCCACACATGGGTTCTTTAACCCTACAAGATCGCCTGGGAGTCAGTATTTTCTGTCTGAAAAGCATGAGGTCTCACTATCCTCTCTGTCACAATCAGAGACCATGGCCATTAGAAAGAAACCCTTGACTCCCTTTGAATACCACCAAGCTAGACAGTTATATATAGGATCAGTGGTTCAAAAACGCCAACCTGCCAAATGACTCCACTGTTTCCTAGTATCAGGACCACAGGCGGTCTCCTGCCAGAGTGTCAGGATTTGGCAGGTGCTTCTGGAATGCTCCGGGAGCAGGATTATGCAGGCATAAGCAGAAACAGCAGAAACTGCGCTACCAGCCGAGAGTGGCTTCTATTTTCGGGACATGTAGGCACTGACAGTTCAAACAAGGAAGGGATCTGGTGTTTTTGGATTGACTCTTGCGTTTCCAGGATACTGTGTCCTGAGACATTATCTGTTTCCCCTCCAGGGCTGAAGTGATTCTGGGGAGCATCATCAAGAAGAAAGGCTGGAGGTAATGCATTCACCATACTCATTTAATAGCCTTTTAAAAAAATTGTTACTATTTTGTACCAGAGAAGAGAAAATAAAGTTGCATGACAACTGACCAAAAAGACTGTCAGAAAACTCAATTCTTAGTAAAGAAATAATTTACAGTGCTTTGAAAGTAAATATTAGTGAGCTCACTACTTGCACTTCGAAGATTAACTTGTTGTTGATCACAATGAATTACCATGGGTTGAGCAGAGAATGTTCATGAGATAATTGTGCATAAAATAAAGTGGCATTTCATGGTTTTTGACTGCCCTGTGTGGTGATCTGGTGAAGGAAGCCAGCTATAGAACGTTAATTATCTCCATACGTGTATTTATGTGCATTGTTCATTTTATTAGCAACTCTGGATGCAAAGAAATGATGACCCAAGAAACCCTTGGGATAAATATCCCAAAGCTTTCTTGTCTGAGCCAGCATCTCTCCTGTGTGCTGGGAGCCCTATTATCTGGACATTCAAGAAAGTGCTTCATCTGCCCTGCCTGAGGGGTCACAGCGTATCCTATCACCTGGTAGAGGCAAAGTAATAGTTATGATGGATGCTATAATGTTGGAGGGGGAGCGGCAAACCCTCTCCGTTTCACTACGCGTGTCAGCCCCAGTAGCCATTTCTTTTCCAGTATGAGTACAGACTCAGGCAAAGACCAGCAAAGACCACTGGTTAAATTGGAGTTCACTTCTGCTCTTGTATAAGATCTGCTGATGGCCAAATAAATAACAGATAACAGTTCTATAATAAAAGTGGAAACGGAAATTTGGAAGTTCCTGGAAATATGAGCAAATGAACTTTGGTGACCTACTTTCTCCCTTTCCCTTCCTCTCTTTCCCCACTCCAGGGACTGTAAGAGTGTGAAGAGAAAATTGTATTCAACCTTAAATACGGAAAGAGATTCCCATCCCCACCCAGTCCTCCACCTTGCCTGAGTTACCATTCCACTCAGAATGTTGACCCATCCATCACTGCTCAAATAGGACTGTATCCCTTTCTTAAGACTGCTGTAACCATGTGCCACAAACTGGGTGGCTTAAAACAACAGTAATGTATTCTCTCCGTTCTGGGATCCAAGAGTACAAAATAAATACTTGGTCAGGAGCATTCTCTTTCTGAATCCTTCCTTACCTCTTCCCAGCTTCTAGTGGTTGCCGCATTTTAGCATTTTGTGCATCAGAGCTGCAACTGTTCAATGCTGCCTCTGTCATATGATCTTCTCCCTTTGTGTGTTAGTGTCTTATGAAGGCATTAGTCATACTGAATAAAGGGCCCACTTTACTCAAGCATGACCTCATCTTAACTAATTACATTTGCAGTGGCCCTATTTCCAAATAAGCTCACATTCGGAGGTACGGGGGGGATAGGGCTTTAGCATATCTTTTGTGGGGGACAAAATTCAACCTATAACAGACACTTTGGAGATGAGTCCAGTAATGTCCAGTGAAATCA